GCAGGCTCCGGCCAGACCCGTGTTCATTCGGAACTCGCCTAAATGAATGAAAATGAATGTCCAAAAATGGATGTCCACATGAGTGCCGATGTGTACGCTCGGGCGGCAACAAATGTGTACGCTCGGGCGGCAACAAGTGATCGTCCGCTCGAGATCTCAGTCTCCTCACACCGAGACCGTCGGCGCCACGCCTGCGAAGCGCCACTGCAACGGAGCAAAATGTCTGGAACGAACTTCTTTCAACGCAAGTTGTTGAAGTTGTGCGAGTTTAAATGAGTATTTGCGCGGGGCTGCGATGCAGTCAGGTCACGTTATCTGCTCACGATCCACGTCTCACGTTCCATTTGTATCTGGCAGACGTGATCGTTTCGTGCGTGCTGATGCAGATCACCCAAACACTTTTCCGGCGCACCTTTCACAGACCGTGTCGGGTCGCTTATCACGGGTCGTCTTCTTGTGGCCATTACTCGCACGATCTCCGCACACAATAAGCAATGCGCCGGCGCCGTCTCGACCCCATTAGCGCACGACCGGCCCCCGGCGAGCGTCCATCCGCGCAGACCAGCCGAGCCGGAATGGTGTCAGCTGGTCGCGCGGCGCGACCTCTGACCGACCCGTGCAAGGTTGCGCGTTTTCGTGGAAAGCGCGCGCCCGTGGCCGGGCTAGAGCCGGCCCGAGGCGGGTCCGCCTCATTTCACGCGGTGAAGCGGCCTGTTTGAGCCGAGATAATTGCGGAGGTTTTGTTGTAATATGACGCTGGCGCACGCCTCATTGTTTTCGCCCGGGAAAAACGTATCACGGCTATTGGATACGCCAACGCCGACGGCGTGCAGCGCGGGAGCCCTAACGCAGCGGTGGTCAGCAGAGCCACCTATCGAGCTTTTCCTGAACTGGCGGTGCACGGTGCCGACGCAGAGTTGGCCGAAGTTGTTCCCGGAGATATTTTGAGGCATCAAAAAGAGATGGCTTGAGATTTTGGGGCCGAGGTCCGTTTGGCAGCATCTGTTATAGGCTGACATCCATTTGGTGGCTGCCTTATAGTTTTTATAATTATAGGAACTGTAATTATTCGGACAAAATAAGTGATTGACCAAAGATGGGCACTGAACCCCACCCCTGCTCCCAGGTGCCGATTTGTTTCGATTCCGTTTCGGCGGAACCGACTCCTTCTTCGAGTTACGGTGCATAGGATTGATTTCGGCCCTGACGCCGAGCAGCCTGGCACAGTTTTGAAGCCCCCTCGATCTCAACTCAATCATTAATGGCTTAGTTCCGGAATTCATGCGGTTCGAATCGATACTGACGACAGTGGTTATGATATAAGCAGTTCTATGGTCTTCGCAGATGCTTGCAGCAACACTTTTTATGTTATCGCGACGGTATCTATGAGTTTTTCACTACCACTAGCTGTTGTGCTTTAAATTATATTGTCACAGGACTGTGCATTAGGCTCAGCTACGGTCCTCACTTGACATATGTCCAAAGAAATCGATACCGACCTGACTCAACAACGCTTTAATCGATTCGGGGGTTGTTTCTGCGTTTACCCTGGGTCAAGCAAAGGCCTGCTTAAGAGAGACCCCAATACTGGAGACTGGTACAGCACGTCATTTGAAGTCGGGGATGAAACGCATTGAGGTTAATAAGAAGGTGGGGGTCAAACTTTGAGAAAAAAACACGCTTCTTCACGCTGTTGATGCTTTCTGGCGACTAATTTATGTCACCGACTACGAGACCGACTACTGTTACCGACTTCACCGACTAAGAGACGAGCATTCGGTAAAAAAGTCTTCAAAGAGAGGCAAACTCCACCACTCAGAGTAGGTCGCAATGACTTGTGCTCATAGAAAACAAAATAAGTCACCTCATTGTGTGTTTGGAAGCTGCCGGGAAGCAAATTTGCCAGTTATTTAAGGAAATCATGATGCCAAGGGAGCTCAGTTTAGATCCCTGCTTACTGCCGAGAAATTAAACCATTTGCCAGTAGGCAGGCGCTGTTCGTCTGCAGTGAGCATCTGACTGGATCCACAATGTCAGGATCAAATGCATGGTGGCATGGCCTTGCCTGCTTTGGCACTCGAAGCATGAAATAACGCTACTGCATCGCACATTAACGCATTTCATGGTCAGTTTTCGCTGCTATAGATGTTGGCTCAACAAACTTAGATAACTTTAAGCGTCATTATGTGTGACACCCTGAAAATAAATTCGTCGGTCAAAATAAACCAACCGGCCAAGTGGTAAAGTCACAGAAAATGTTTTGCTATTTGCGAGATACGTCAACCAAAGGTTGTGCGCCCTAATAGATCAGGACAGCATTGCGTGTGGAGGGTCTGGAACGGTTGGGTGCCTCGTTGGTGTCAGGCGTGTGATGACGGCCTTCTACATGTATCACCTTTACATGGTGTGCTCCTCCGCTGCTAACGGTTGCTCATTAAAGATCTTCTGAAATGGAGTGTTCCACATTTGTATGAGATTTGAACTGAAATAGCTATATTGGAGATCATTCCGTGCAGTTTACAGCCGTGCCTTTCTAAGACCTAAGCCTTTCTATTTTCTGAGTTACACACCCGCGAAGATGTGCATACTATTTCAGGGAGATTATTTAAAAGTCACTTTGACATCAATGACGCTATAATAACGTCATATAAATTCTGTCATTCCATTAGGCATGCGGCGATCAAGCCCAACTTTTCCAGTTGTTCATATCTAGAGTTCGTGAGCACGATTTTCAGATATCGTGGCCGTCAATTGACTCTCCATCAATGCTGTGTAAGGTACGATGACGTAATCAAGCAATGATGTGTTGAGAAGCATATTTACTAAAAAGAAAAGTTGTGTTACCTAGAGCGGTCTTTTCAACTTATAAGTATACCAATATGAGTGAGCTTATTCCATTCTATGGGACGCTTCCTTTAATATATTCAAATGTGGAACAATGCCTTTTATGGAGCTCTGTAGCAATATTTTATCTATTATGCCAAAGTCTCTTTAAGTTGAGTTCCCGCCCCTAAGAGATTAAGATTCTGTAGGAACAAAACCTTGACCTTGTCCCGGCACGTTTCGGCCTGGTTTTTTGTTGTCTGCACCTCGCCTGTGATTGGCTGCCGTTGACAGGTTAGACGTCCGCGCCTCAGATCTGGGGCACCTCGCCACCGCGGCGATGATGATCGGCCATGAACGCGCTCCAACATTTCGTCTGTCTCTCACCCGGGGTCTCAATGGGCGAGGCGTCAAATGAGGAATGAAATGTCGACGGTTAGACTGCTGGGAACGCGTGTGGCGGGTTATCCGCGTGGCTGTGCCGTCACGCCACCAGACCACAAATTCCACCGTCCACCGCACCGCGGGTCCACATATCTCACCAGCCACCAAATGGCACCAGGTGCGCGTTATCACACACGCCCACGCCACCCAATACATATCCTTTGTGTTCTTTTCGTTGTCGCCAGCTGAAATGTCAGCAGTCCATTTAATTATGGCGGCCGCCTGCCTGACCACTTCGGACTGAAATAGCCGACACGCCTCCGTACCTGGCGACCTACAGGGCAGGGCGGGCGGAAGCCCCGCCCCCGCCATGCCGCCGAGTGTGAACGCCCCGCCCCATCATCCCACCGAGTGTGACCACCCCGCCCTGCCCTGCTTCTGGCGTGCCGCCGATGCCAGACCTGAAGCTCAGTCCTGGGATACGCTCATGATCTTGCATAGCTATGGTCCACCCCACATACTGCTCTCAAAAGCCATCGCGAGCGTTTTTGGACCATCAGGCGCAAAGCCGTGGGCGGACCTTCGGCCCCGCCCCCGCGCGCTAAGCCTCTCCGGGCGCTTCTGCGTGTCGCGCGCGGCCGGCGCGCAGCCGCGCCGCCCGGTCAATACGGACCGGACCGGGTCAGGGCCGCCGGCGGTCGGCGGGAATCGATCCCGCCTCCGCCTCGCGCCGCCAACCACCGCCAGAGCAGTGCGCGGCGTGGCGAAGCCTCCAGGTGACCTTGCGGGGAGGCGCGGGGCGCCGGGGTGCCACCTCGGCCCGGCAGCTGCGGCGATCGGTGACCTTCACCTGTGGAGGACGAGTGGTACGACCTGCTGACCTGTGAACCAGTTTGGTGGTGGGCTTGGTGGTGGTCGTGCTCGGGGAGTGCAGTGGCTGTGCTGCGCTGGTAAACGGTAATTACCTGTCGTTTTTTTGCATCGGTAATTACCGATCGCCTCACCCTTGCGTTCAACCTTGATAGCTCATTGGAAAAACTGGCAGGGCGATTAAACGCAGTGGGGGCTGCGTATTGACTGTGTTGACGCAAGAGTTTGCCTACATATCATCAGCCATTTGTGTCTGGAGTGATGGACGTGTATTCACGGAGGCCTTTCAAGGTGGCGATGCACTCCAGAGGAAATCGTCCCATCTTGTGGCGTACTCAAGTACACGGTTGAAATTCACCTCGCAACTGCAGTTGCAACAATCCGCCCGTCATCCTCTATCGCACCCGGACCCGCCCAGATATTCATCACCGCCCGGTGGGTAAACCGCGTGGGGTTGCGAGCGGCGGTCCGCGCGTGTTGCCACTGGCCGCCCCGGGCTCTCATTTGTATGCGGCCCGTGCCCCGGTCAGCCCAGCTGGTTACCGTGCTCATTTGCCGGCGCGACCCGGGGCGCTAGGTCGGCAACAGCTATCGCGGTCACCGCGCAGCTCGCGGCGTTCCTGGAAGAGAGCCGCGCCGGAGGACGGTGGCCCGGGGTCGTCGCGCGTGAGGAGCAGCGCTGTTGCGCAGTCGGGGCGCGGCGGCGTGGCGGCGTGGCGGCGCGGCCGTGCGCTGACGACACCCTGCGGTGCACGCCCCGGCCTCGACCGCGCGCCGCGTGGGAGATCGCACGACCGCGCCGCCTGACCCGCGCGGTCGCGCGCGACCCGACCTCTCCCAGGTGCCTCTCCCGGCCGGCGCCGGGCGGTGACGTCACGGCGCGGCGAGCGCGCCGAAACGAAAGTAGCGCCCGCTGACTGTCAGATGACGCCGGTGGCCGGTGCTGTGGACACGCGCGCGCTGCGCCCGTGGCGAGCCGGCGAGTGCTGAGCTGTGTTGAAGGTGCATGGTGCTGTGCACAGCGCATATCAACGTCAACATATCGTGGTGTGTGGACGGGCGGCTCGTAGTGGCACGGCATCCCGAAGTTGGTATTTTGTTGTACGGAAAACTTCACGAGAGCTGTTGGACCCGCGCCGGACGTGTTCCGTTCTGCAGCTCTGACCGCATTGCAAGAAGCGAGTGATCGCGGAGAAGGCTCTGCATCCGCCGTGTGCGGCACTGCTCCACGCCGCGTGAAGACCTGAGGCTGTCGCATCCCTGCCCAGCGCACCGGTCACCGCGAGGGCCGACCACGACGGTGGCGGTAGCGCTGGCTGGCGCTGCGCTGTGAACGCTGCGTATCTCTGGCCGAACGCTCCGCTCATGCCGTCTACTCATCTATCACGTCTGTGAGGCGGTCCAGTGCTGTGTCCCGAGCAGCAGCAGCAGCGGCGGCTGGTGAAGGGGCGGGACTCCGTCAACAGCCTGATGAGCGAGGTCTCCCACACGGAGCCGGAGCCGGCCGTGGCCACGGGTGACTCGGCCTCGGAGCAGGCAGTACCCGTCCCGGTCGTTGACCAGGCCGGGATGGACGCGTTGGATCGGTCGGAGTCGACCGCGTCGGACCGGCTGGAATCGGACGCGACGGACCGCTCCGAGTCGGACGCGGAGTGGATCGACGCCCAGGAGGCTGACGCCGGCGATGTCGCTGCGTCGATCGTCGGCAACGACGCGGACCATGACACCGGCGGGGGCAGCGCCGCCAGCGGCGATGCGGGCGAGACGGGCGACGTTGAACCTTGGCAAATGACACCAAAGCATCGCGCACACGTGCCGCTGGAAGCCAGCGAGCCAGACTCAACGCAAGTTGGAGAAGGTGATGGAGAAGGTGATGTAGCCGACCACGTCGCGCCTGACACGACGGTCGATTTCAGCGTGGATGCTGGGGATACGACAGAGCCTGGGGCTCAGCATTGCGGTGCTACGACGTTGGGACGCTTGGAACATGAGCAGTCCTCCAGCCAGACTGAGCTGCAACCCGACAGCGGCGATGCCGATCAGGCGGACATGCTGAACTCGCCGCCGCTGGCGCCGGTCGGTCTGGACGGGACAGTTCCGCCAATCCCCGCTGTGAGAACACGTTTCACCGTGCAAGAAGGGAACGTCGACGACAGCCCGGAGAGAACCAAAATCGCACTGGACACGGGATTAGTCAAGGAGAACGAAGGGAACGACGATTCTGCTTTCGCTGAAGTGCCCGATAACTTGCTAACCTCGCCTGATCATGACCGTCGCGTTCAGGAAGAGAACGAAATCAACCAACTGAAGACAGACTCAGGTGAGGCCCTGTTGGATTGTGGGCATTGCCTTCCTGCTCCTTACCGACGTCACTACTTTCTCTCAAGGTTTTGCCACCTTGACATCCCCTCATTCTAGTCTTATTCACTTCCAGCATTAGCAGCAAGTCTTTTGCCATCGGCCATCTTGCTTTTCCCGGCTACATATCGCCTGCAGGCTGGTTACGCCTGGGCCGTCCCGCTGTTTGCAGCCACAAGTCGTTTCCCCGGTTTTTGCCTGCCGTACGCACGTTATCTCAGGGCCATCGCAGCTGTACTTTGCTGGGTCTTTGTCGGTGTTCCGCTTTTGCTCCATTTTCCTCGTTAGGTCCGTTTCCTGAGATTTCCTGCTCGGGGTGTGGTCTTGCCCTTCTTGCCTCTGGAATTTTCGATTTCCGTTAAGGAATGAGCGTGGCCGCATGGCCGACTCCTGGCTGTGTGCCGCGCAGAATGTGGGCCGTAGGGCTCACGTGGTAGTGCGGAAGCATAGGTGACGGGATGTGATCCATGTGGAAGCAAAATGATACTGGAACAAGTAGGGAGGTGTCGACTGTATCATTTGCTGGTGGTCAGTTGTATGGGTTATGTGAAGGTGTATGATGTGTTACTGGTCTTCTGTCGAGTGGACGAGCGATTATGTCCAGTGATCGGTAGGACTTGATCTGGCGCATGGGTATGCTATTTAAATAGGCATATCCGTCTATGAAGTGAATGAAACGTTGACTGCATTGATAAATGGGTATCCTCACCTTTTCACTCAAGAGCATACCGTTACAGCTAACCAGAAACGTGCAGGAAAATGATATTCGCATGTTTCAGCGTGCTACGCAGTTTTAAATGTGAGGGCCAATTCCCACGCGGTACTTCATCCTCTAATCGTTGATCTGCAGCATCGTCTTTGCACTTGAGCCAGGATTGAGTGTTCACACAGCCACCTTATCACCGCCATTGTGCTCTCTTGTGCTGTGCGCTAATCATATTGCGCTAATAATACGTGCTCTCTTGTGCTGTGTGCTAATAATACGTGTTCTCTTGTGCTGTGTGCTAATAATATGTGCTCTCTTGTGCTGTGTGCTAATAATATTGCGCTAATAATACGTGCTCTCTTGTGCTGTGTGCTAATAATACGTGCTCTCTTGTGCTGTATGCTAATAAGACGTGCTCTATTGTGCTGTGTGCTAATAATACGTGCGCTTTTGTGTTGTGTGCTGCCAAATACTTAGTCAACCGGCTTGATCTATTCTTGCATATCTCGCGCCGCGCAGGTCATCATCATAGGCATTAGTACTCCACTGTGCCGGCGGTAGGCGTGCCAACGCGATTGCGGCGCGCGGCCCGAGATGAATTTGTCATGGATCCCTCCCTAACGAGATTCGGCTGTGTTGCTCAAGCAACGTACAGTTGAATAATGTTGTGGCATGTTCTCGCAAGTTTAATGCTGGGAACGGCACACTGCAATGACATCTCTTGCGACGCTTCCCTGGATGATGCAAGACCTGGGAAGCGACATTTACTCTTGCCGAAATGTTCGCCTTTCCCCTGACATTTCGGGACACCCCGGAGTGTTTCTGGGCCGCGTCTCTGCCTGTCGCCCGCTCGTGCTGCGCTTCTCGGCGACACTCCCTGTCCGCGCCGGTGCCGTGCGACTCAGCCGTCCGGTCGGCAGCCTGCTCTGTCCTTGTCGGCACGCACCATCTCACGCGCCGTCACGCGGCTGTCACGCGCTGTCACGCGGCCGGCGGCGCCGCGCGACGGTCACTTGCGCGTCGCATTTCTCCGACAGCCGGCGGCTTTCTTCCCGGCGGGACCGGGCGGGAGCACGCCGCGGTCCGGCGCGGCCGCGCGCCATAACTGGCCCCGCCGCGCCGTAACCGGCCCCACTGTGGACCGTTGCATCACGCGCGTGATATACCGACGGTCACCGCCGGCCGTCGGGAAATGAAAAGTCGGGCTGGCGGCTACGATATGGGAGAGCGGGATGTAGGCCTGGATATGGGGGGGGGGGGGGGGGGGGGGGGGGGGGGGGGGGGGGGGGGGGGGGGGCGTGGTAAGAAGTACGGGGTGGGGCTGCGCCAGGGCAGCCCGAGTGGATTGAATAGCATGTGGCTAAGGAAAGTGTTCTGGCAACTTATACTTTTTGCTGGAGTGACGCAAATCAATTCTGACAACATACGAATGTAATCACAGTATTCCCGTTAACAAACTTAAGGTGCTGGAGTGCACTCGATGCCTGGCATTATCATCGGAATATTATCAGATAGCCCACTAAAGTTTCCTCTTAGGCATGTTCAAAGTCGTTGCCAGCCTCCGCGGTACACGCCGAGTTTGGTTAGCTTCGGCCATGGTGGCCAATGTCGTCACGATTTGTTTACAGTGCGTTCGATGCTCGCCATCACGTACCACTGTTTGCGATCTCGGTCTACACGTTCCCCTCGGCATCCTCAGCCCCCCCCCCCCCCCCCTCCCCCAAGCTGCCCTGCACGCAGAGCCGTCGTTAGACTGCTGCGGCGGCCGGCGCCTGGCCGGCGGCGCTCCCGTGCTACGCCCACTGTGGCGCCCACTGTCACCTGCCGGGCTCATCGGGCTGATGAGGCGGGCAGACGGGATTGAAGTGCCGCCGCGTGTTGGCCCGCGGCGTCTGCCCAGGGGACCGGGCAGACGAAGGTCGAGGCGCTAGGCAGACGTGCTCGAAGCGACCCCGTGTGAAGTCCCTGGTGAGAGGGATCCCACTGAACTGGATGCAAAATGCCAGGTTATGTCATTGATATATGTGGACAAGGAAAATGTGCCACGTAGTTTGCTGCATGAGATCGCGGCTATTATGTATGGCTGGTGTTAGTTACGTGACATACCACTACGGGCATAATCGCGAGATCGGTGTGTGAAGTTAGCCCATTTTGAGTGGACATGTATCCGTCTCTTCAAGAAAAGATCGGTCTTGCTGTGCCGGTGTGGGGGAGGTGCCTCCAGTGGCTCTAAAGCAGCACCGACGAGAACGCCCTCGGTTTGCCAACGCATGAGATGCTTGAGAACGTGATGAGAACTGTGGGCTCGTTTCTGAGAACGTGATGAGAGCCGTGAATGCGCATCTGAGAACGTGATGAGAACCGTATATGCCCCACTAAGAGCGTAATGAGAGCCGTGGATGCGCCTCTGAGAACGTGACGAGAGCCGCGTCAACATGGCGCTGCGGTGAGGGGAGTTGCAGAGCCCCGTCGCTCGCAGCGCCTTGATGTGAAAGCTCGGTAATGGGGTCATTCAAATTGTTTCGTGCAGCTTATTTGGTAAGGCCGCCAGCCGCCCCGTTTTCCGCATTGCGTTTGCAAGCTGACACATTTGGCAGCGCGTTCAGAGCTTACCGTGTCGCAGTCGTGATAGGAGTTGAATGCGAAGTGTTGACTTAAAGCTGTGGTGATCGTGCGGTGTGGCTTATGGACTTACAAACGAATGTGGTGGAACAACATGTCTTAAAGGGAGTGTTCCACATTTGTATGGGAGTTTGAGCTGAAATAGCCACCTTGAAGACCTTTCGGTGCTAGTCACAATCATGCCATTCTTGAGACCTAAGGCGGCTGGTTTCTGAGGTACACACCCTCGAAAAGGGAAAGGTAAATCGGGGAGAGTGTTTCAAAGTCAGCTTGGCATTCTTGGCGTCATAATAACGCCATTCAAATCCTGCCATTCCATAAGCCATACGGCGATCATTTTCAAGAAAAATATTGTTGTCGAGGCGTTCATAGCTGGCGTTCGTGAGCGCAATTTCCAGATATAACGGCCGTCAACTGGCTCTCAGTCAATGTCGTGCAAGGAACCATGGCGTAATCAAACCATGACGCATTGGGGAACATATTTATTAAACAGAACGTTGTGCTGTCTAAAGTAGTCTTTTCCACTTAAAAAGAGCACCAATAGTTATGAGTGCGGTCGTTTCATCATCCAAAAGTGAAGCATTTTCTCTAAGAAGGAAATGTCGGGCATGCGTGGGGCTTTGCAATGAGATGGACAGGTTGTATGCTATCGATCATCCGCAAATGGTTCGCACGCCTGATGATCATTTTTGAAAACGACGTCATACACCACGTCTTTTTTAAAAACGGTAGAAAACATGTTTGGCTTCAACGCTGCGCAGCGGTTGTCCTTGGCGTGCCGTTTGCATGCTCCGCAAAATAAAAATACAAGTGCGCACACGAGAACTACGTCTCGCATGCTCGGATTTTGTGGTTAGGGACCGCACCCGGGATCGACTGCAGCGGTAAGACTGGCCAGCTCTGCTCGACTGCAGACGGTAATGTCTTGCTGCGACGCAGGCCTGCAGCTTGCTAACGCTCAGCCTGATAAGCCCTGGCTGTACACGCCAGGTTTGCTCTCTGGATCCGCCCCTGGTACTGTCCGTACCGCAGTGCGACGCCACTGCTGACAGAAAATGCCAGGCTGTCGCCGTATGGCTCACGTGCTGTCTGATGTCGCTGTATGCCTCACCTGCTGTCAGAAGCAGTGACAATTGCCGGTGCGGTCAGTGCCGACACGTATCGCTGTGGTGTGGTCCGTGTCGCATGCTGATCGGAGAGAAAGCGGTCCCTTCGTTCCAAGCCATATGGCGCGGTGCGTCCGACTCTGAAGGGCTTCAGCTGCGGCCGTCTGTTCAGGGTCAGTGCCCCGCAGCCGCTCTAAGCTGGCGCCGGTGTGACCCATGTGGACCGTTAACCAGAGCTGGCGTTCCTGTGCCTCTCTGGGGGACGGAGAGCCCGAACCGGTGCGGCTGCTGGCACCACTGCGCGGTCTCGCGATGACACCAAGGCCGAGATCGTTGTGGCGGATTATGACGGCGGCATTGAGACGACCGGATGATGACAGACAGCGGGCGGTGACGGGTTGGGCTCGTGCTGAGGCCGTGCTCGGACGCGGGTCGATGCTACCAGCGTCGGATGCGCTGGGCGCTCGTGGACGCGTTTCCGCGCCCGCCTGGGTACGACCTGTCAGGCGGCAGACACAGTCCGCCCGTCTCCAGACACTGTCGAGCGCGCCGTACATGTATTACCGTCTGCGGGTCCGTGTCAGCGCGCGTTTGACGGGGTTGTTTTCTGTTCAGTTTCAGCCGGGATGGGCCGTGTACAGGAGGACGACCAGACGCCCCAGAGCGGGCGCCGGCTCATTAAGGCCGACCCTTCGCTCGCCGTGCCCTGCTCCACCACATTCGTAAGTCACGTGGCCGAGCTGGGATCATGGGCTTTAGGGCTGGAACAGACTTTTAGTCCGATTATAGGTTGTTACGATTTTAGTGTGATTGCACACTTGTGCAGTTGTAGAGCAGCACAGTTCTTTAATATGCACAGCTTGTCCTCAGTGTGACATTGAGCATGTACAAAAGGTAACGCGCTCGCAGATAGGTGTTTCGGCGTAAACGTACCGTAGTATATTTAAGTATCTGTAGCGGCATCATACCATTAGACAATCGGCCTGTTAAGCTTGCAGCAACGAAAATAGTTGATCATTATCCTAAACATAAATGCGTCGCAACGTGTCCTTTCACACACTGTTGGCCGCCGTTGTCGGTGCATTCCGCTTCTTTGAACTCGGCAAGTCAGCCCGTGTTCATCGATCCACATTTACGCGTCTCCAACGTGACTCACGGCCGTAAAGTTGACGCCGCTGCAACGGCAAGGTTAACGGGCATATCGATCTGCACAGTCATCAGATGTCAGATGTCATTGCGTGTCCGGTACGAGCGCGGCTCCTGTTTTAGATGCGGACTACTCCGGTTTGACCTGCCGAGCTCGTTGAAGAACGAGGCCTTAAACTTATGAGACCTTAGACCCACGCTATGAGAGACGAGTCAGACGCATTCTTTGCGAGATTGCTTTTAACTTCATTTGTCATATTTCGATGATAATTGCGGTTTTGCTGTCCCCGTGGCTGGCATTGCGAAATTTAGCACTTTCTCTCAGCCGCTTCGAGTTTTGAATGCAAGGCAAAACGCAATATTGGTGATTCCTTTAAGGTGCGGCTAGCTCACCACTAACAAGGGAAGCCTGGTCACAAGTTACCGTCTTATACGGCACAGCAGATTACGCTGTGATTCTGTTGGACGTGAAGACCAGGGGCAAACTGTTCACCAAAAGGGAATCGCAGTACTTGCGTGATGCGCTCAGGATGTACACAACTAGAATAAATCGAACTTATATGCGTTTTAGCAAGTGTTCGTAAATGCACAATGTGACTGCATAAGTGGAACATTTGTCGTTTTCGTGCCCAAATGCGATTGTATTAGTGAATCGACGGTTGTTTTTGTGTCAGTCAAGTTACGACAGAGTATGTATGACCGTCGATGATAACACAGGTCACCAAGTTCGCCGACCTTCGCTTGCAACGACCCGTTTCTCCACGATCGTGCCCCGCCCGTTACGTAATCGGTGGTTCGAGCGTAACGTCCAGCGGCCCGGCCCGGAGGAAACGCAGAGCCACTGGAACGCATTGTGTGCCTGGAACAATGGGCGCTCCTGTTTTCTCCCGCTGTCATGGCTTCATTGTGCACCTGCCATTCCCTGGGCCCCAATGAACTAGCGTGCTCCGGTGGCGTGGGCCCCGACCAGTGATTAAATCCGGACACTCTCCGATAAACGCTCCCGCTGGAAGAAAGCACTTTCGGTGATATATCTGCTGGCGCCCCGGCGCCCCACGGCTGGCCGCTGCCTACTTTTGGCTGTTACATTTGGTGTTGCTTTCACGATCATGACGTGGCCTACGTTGACAAGGCAAACTTCTGTTGATGGATTTGCATTTTGCTTGTGAATCGTATGGATTTGTTGTGAACCAAATCTGCAAGAGGTGAACGCGTATCAAACTTAAGACTTGGTGGTAAACCTTCCATACTTCCCAAACAGTCCTTAAAATACAAAACGAGCTGTGTACAAGTCCCGCATGTCATGACCCTCGGCCGCCGTACCCACATTCTTTGTACGAGTCATACTCCACCAATGTCTCGTTCCATCCGCCTTTGTACGAGCCACAATCCACCAATGTGTCGTTCCATCCGCCTTTGTACGAGTCATACTCCACCAACGTCTCGTTCCATCCGCCTTTGTACGAGTCATACTCCACCAACGTCTCGTTCCATCCGCCTTTGTACGAGCCACACTCCACCAATGTCTCGTTCCATCCGCCTTTGTACGAGTCATACTCCACCAACGTCTCGTTCCATCCGCCTTTGTACGAGTCATACTCCACCAACGTCTCGTTCCATCCGCCTTTGTACGAGTCATACTCCACCAACGTCTCGTTCCATCCGCCTTTGTACGAGCCATACTCCACCAACGTCTCGTTCCATCCGCCTTTGTACGAGTCATACTCCACCAACGTCTCGTTCCATCCGCCTTTGTACGAGTCATACTCCACCAACGTCTCGTCCCATCCGCCTTTGTACGAGTCATACTCCACCAACGTCTCGTTCCATCCGCCTTTGTACGAGCCATACTCCACCAATGTCTCGTTCCATCCGCCTTTGTACGAGCCACACTCCACCAACGTCTCGTTCCATCCGCCTTTGTACGAGCCACACTCCACCAACGTCTCGTTCCATCCGCCTTTGTACAAGTCATACTCCACTAACGTCTCGTTCCATCCGCCTTTGTACGAGCCATACTCCACCAATGTCTCGTTCCATCCGCCTTTGTACGAGCCACACTCCACCAACGTCTCGTTCCATCCGCCTTTGTACGAGTCATACTCCACCAACGTCTCGTTCCATCCGCCTTCCATGCGCCCGGTGCGGTGCATGGCAGCTATCAAACGGCAATGGATTCAAATATCATGGAAAGAATATGGAAATAGACCCCGGCGTCTGCGAGCCGTTCCATCAACCAATCAGTGCTCCTTACATGCACCCCGAGCCTGTCCGTCCTGATATAGTCGAGCCCGGCTGAACCAATCGGTCGCGGGCTGAACCAATCGGCTGCACTCTGACGTCATCGCCGTTGCCAGGACGACGACGACGACGACGACCCGGACTTTCCGGAGACGCCGGCCACGCCCCAATGTGCCGAGCCGGCGGCGCGTGGCGGCCTGGGGCTGGGGTACCGGACCACGGGTGGACCCGTCAGTTCGCACTGGCACCAGAATAGTGAGTCGAGTTCTCGGCTGCGCCTGGGAGTCGTTGCAGGCATCTACGTCAGTTCTGGGTGATGGGGGACAGTGCTGAGTGTCTGTCGTCGCGGGGGAGCTAAGGGGGCTTTGGAGAGTGCAGTGTGGTGCAGAGTTGAATTGTGTCGTTTAGTTAATGGAAGAATGTCACAGTGTATGCCTCTTGAGGGGATTGGTTGGGTCGGTGCTTAAACTGGATTGATTTCATTTGATTGATCGGTTGGGCAGTTTGCACAAACTTAATCTGGCATGCATTTTCAAGCTGATTACGATCAAGAAATTGGTAAGTCGGGAAGGATTGCATGTTAACAACTCATTATATCGCACCATTGCACAATGGCATACCATAGTCGTTTGAATGCTCGGTGTCGTGTCACGCGCAGCTAGTCGATAACCCAGCAACTGGGCCCTCATGCCAGTCGATAACCCAGCAACTGGGCCCTCATGCCAGACGTCCGCTCAAGGTCAAATCAGGTCTCGACTGCCTGCATGCCTTTGGTCATGAGCATCGCGTACCTGCAGCACGCACTTATTGAACAGCAGGATGGGCAGCAGATTCGTGCCGACGTCTGCGTTGCCGCGATACTCAGGAGTAGACGTAGTTGCACCGCCGCCGTTTCACAAGGCTGGGTGACATATTCGAGCAGGGATCCAGCGGAAGGCCTGGCGTAACTGTGTTTTTGTGGGCACTCAGGATAGCATACGTTCCCTGCACAGTCAGCTATGATTGATCAGCTGACCCTGCACAGTCTGCTATGATTGATCAGCTGACCCTGCGCAGTCAGCTATGGTTGATCAGCTGACCCTGCGCAGTCAGCTATGATTGATCAGCTGACCCTGCACAGTCTGCTATGATTGATCAGCTGACCCTGCACAGTCTGCTATGATTGATCAGCTGACCCTGCGCAGTCAGCTATGGTTGATCAGCTGACCCTGCACAGTCTGCTATGATTGATCAGCTGACCCTGCACGGTCTGCTATGATTGATAAGCTGATTTTCGCACTCGCTGAACCACTGGTGCACTCGCTGCATGATGTTTACACTTTGTTGATTGCTGTTGCGTACCGTTAGGTTAGTTCATTGTTTGCCCTAGATACATGCGGGCACTGCGCCGCAGAGCAATAACGCCAGAGATTTATATGGCGCATGGTATGGTTAAGATTGAGCTTAGATCATCACAATATCCCATTCAACCCACAACCATTTGCCGTTGCTGCGTTCAAAGCCCGCCGTCCATATAACCTACCATGCCTATGTAATTATGTCAGCATCTCAAATGCTCTCGCCCTCACCAAACGCATGTAGAGCACCAGGTTACTACCGTATCCAAGCGTGTAGCTCGCATCCTTAGCTCCCCCGCCCTCCATCACACCCGCGTAGGCCGTCCCGCCCCTGACTGACCGCGCCCGCCACCACAGTGGCACTGGACCTGGCCACGCAGCGGGTCAGCTTCAAGTCGGACCGGCGCCACACGCTGGGCGGCAGCGACCGGCCGGCGGCGATGTCCCGGCCCGGCTCGGCACTGTCGGACCGCAGCGGCGGCAGCGACGACGCGCCGCCACCGCACCAGCCCGGCAGCCACGTGGCCTCCGAGCTCCAGCGCCAGTTCCTCGCCTCGGTGGGTGCAGACTGGAGAACAGTCCCTCGCCTCGGTGGGTGCAGACCGCGGGCCAGTTCCTCGCCTCGGTGGGTGCAAACCGCGGGCCAGTTCCTCGCCTCAGTGGGTGCAGGCTGCGGGCCAGTTCCTCGCCTCGGTGGGTGCAGGCTGCGGGCCAGTTCCTCGCCTCAGTGGGTGCAGACTGCGGGCCAGTTCCTCGCCTCGGTGGGTGTATACTGCAGCCCAGCTGACCGCTTAGTACCGCCAGGCCGGCCGCTGCCAAGCCAGCCGATACAACATTTGTGTTCGCTTTTAGCGAGTCGACAACGCTTTCCTGCTTTCGGTGATTGCGATTTTGAAACCAATTAAAGGTGTGGGATCAGCCTCTTGGAGTGGAAAGTGGAAATGAACGCCCTCGATTCGAAAATCAATGGCACGTTTTTGCACATCGGTTAAATGCCATTGCAAAAAAGGAAGCCCTTTGCTGTTGGTGGCAAGAGCTGGACGAAGCTTTGTCATCGTCTGTAGGCACTGAAAGGATCAGATATGTAAGATCGACAGCAAAAAAGAAAACAACGACAAAGACCTATCGCCGTGAAACCCCAGTGATCGAATGTACAGACCATGCACCCTGTCCGCTTCGAAGCGCCAGTCTTCCCGACGGTCTCCCAGCTGCAGTCAAACCATAAAGGACGACTGACCTGCTTGCCAGCGGACCGACATGACCATTACAGCTATTACAGCCAATCTGACCTGCCCCCACGCGTGTTCCAGTCGCAGTGGACGGACATGGAGTGTCTATCGCTGACGTTGGAGGAAGTGGTGCATATCCGCTCCGTCCTGACTAAGGCGGAGCTGGACTCGCTGCCGGTCGAGTGTCACATCAAGGAGGACGTGGCGCGCGGCAAGCTCTGCTTCCTCTGCATGAAGACCCGCTTCTCCTTCTTCGGCGCCAAGGGCCACAACTGCCGCCTCTGCCAGCGCGTTGTCTGCGCCAAGTGCTGCGCCAAGGTGGGTCGGCCTCCGGGAGAGGGATCGGGGGTGGAGGCAACGATAGCGGAGCTGACAAGGGCTGTTAGTGCTTTTCATAACCATCTTGATCGGCTTGTTTTGGATGAGCCGAGTGCTTCGGCATAGGCCAGAAGCGCGGCTATGTTTGGCGCGCTGGTCGAAATGGCGCTCGTTGGAGGACGCGGAATGACGCTGGCCTTTAAATACAACGGCTCAGTTCCAGGCCTTCTGGTGGCTTGCACAGCTGATCAGTCAATAGAAGGGAAAGCTATCGCTTGGAGCCTCATCATTACTCAGCCCTAGTTGGATTCTGTGACTGGCGTGGGACGTTTTTTTCATCAGTTGCCAAAGACATGGTCTGGGAGCGCACCGATAGCAAATACGGTGCCAGACAGTTGAACGCGATGGCGTATAAAGTTAGGGTTGTCCACGCGGGATTATTCGGGTATCACTTCCAGCGACTTGTTCTGTATCACTAGATTCCCGAGCGCTCGTAGAATTGATGTCGCCATTGTGGCCGGTTCGCTATCGGCGTCAGCTCACCGCTGGCCTCCGCGCAGTCAGTGAGAGCCGACGGTGACGCCTCCTCTCCTGCTGCAGATGAGAATACCGACCGAGCACTTCGCCAGTATCCCGGTGTACACGCTGACGCCGTCGTCGCTCTCGCCGCAAGAGGAGGAGGCTCGCTCCCTGCTGTCGCGTCTGCAGGTGCCAGAGATGCCCAGCTTCACCACTGGTGCGTCCGGTGCGGGTGGTGCCGACGGTGCGCGGAGAGGCGCGATTGGCCAGGGGATCTCCTCGTGCACAAAGTCCCAGGCGGTGGTGTGGGCCTGTGGGCTCGTGGGGATGCTGTCCGGGACTGAAGGGCGGTGGTGTGGGTCTGTGGGCTCGTGGGGATGCTGTCCGGGACTGAAGTAGTTGAGGTTGGTGTAAACGGTAGATAAGCAATGCGAAACAGATCGAAATTCCATGTGTTTGTGCAGCGAATATTCAGTGTTGGGTACATGTTTGTGCGGCTATGTTTGGCCCGGAATTCGGCAGAACTTTAAACAAATCGAAATATCTAGCTGCAGCATTTTCATGCTTCAGAAACAATACGTGTAGCGGCGCATGTTCATGTATCCGCGGCGTATCATCACACCTCCCGTTTGCCCCCAGATCACACCTCCCGCTCGTCCCCAGATCACACCTCCCGCTTGCCCCCAGATCACACCTCCCGCTTGCCCCCATATCTTACCTCCCGCCTGCCCCCCGATCACACCTGTTTGCCCCCAGATCACACCTCCCGTTTGCCCCCAGATCACACCTCCCGCTTGCCCCCAGATCACACCTCCCGTTTGCCCCCATATCTTACCTCCCGCCTGCCCCCCGATCACACCTGTTTGCCCCCAGATCACACCTCCCGTTTGCCCCCAGATCACACCTCCCGTTTGCTCCCAGATCACACCTCCCGCTTGCCCCCATATCTTACCTCCCGCCTGCCCCCCGATCACACCTGTTTGCCCCCAGATCACACCTCCCGTTTGCCCCCAGATCACACCTCCCGTTTGCCCCCAGATCACACCTCCCATTTGCCCCCAGATCACACCTCCCATTTGCCCCCAGATCACACCTCCCATTTGCCCCCAGATCACACCTCCCGCTTGCCCCCATATCTTACCTCCCGCCTGCCCCCCGATCACACCTGTTTGCCCCCAGATCACACCTCCCGCTTGCCCCCATATCTTACCTCCCGCCTGCCCCCCGATCACACCTGTTTGCCCCCAGATCACACCTCCCGTTTGCCCCCAGATCACACCTCCCGTTTGCCCCCAGATCACACCTCCCGTTTGCCCCCAGATCACACCTCCCATTTGCCCCCAGATCACACCTCCCATTTGCCCCCAGATCACACCTCCCGCTTGCCCCCATATCTTACCTCCCGCCTGCCCCCCGATCACACCTGTTTGCCCCCAGATCACACCTCCCGTTTGCCCCCAGATCACACCTCCCGCTTGCCCCCATATCTTACCTCCCGCCTGCCCCCCGATCACACCTGTTTGCCCCCAGATCACACCTCCCGTTTGCCCCCCAGATCACACCTCCCGTTGCCCCCAGATCACACCTCCCGTTTGCCCCCAGATCACACCTCCCATTTGCCCCCAGATCACACCTCCCATTTGCCCCCAGATCACACCTCCCGCTTGCCCCCATATCTTACCTCCCGCCTGCCCCCCGATCACACCTGTTTGCCCCCAGATCACACCTCCCGTTTGCCCCCAGATCACACCTCCCGCTTGCCCCCATATCTTACCTCCCGCCTGCCCCCCGATCACACCTGTTTTGCCCCCAGATCACACCTCCCGTTTGCCCCCAGATCACACCTCCCGTTTGCCCCCAGATCACACCTCCCGTTGCCCCCAGATCACACCTCCCGTTTGCCCCAGATCACACCTCCCGTTTGCCCCCAGATCACACCTCCCGTTTGCCCCCCGATCACACCTGTTTGCCCCCAGATCACACCTCCCGTTTGCCCCCAGATCACACCTCCCGTTTGCCCCCAGATCACACCTCCCATTTGCCCCCAGATCACACCTCCTGTTTGCCCCCAGATCACACCTCCTGTTTGCCCCCAGGTGGCTCAGACCCCACCTCACCGAACCTGTCGCGTCAGAGTCCGGAGCAGACGCAGAGTCTGCCGCCGCAGCCGCTGCTGCAGCAGGTCGAGTCCAAGCTGCGCAGGTGCGTGGACACTAAGGACCGTGGGGTGGAGCGGGTGGAGAGCTCACGGCTCCGATGCCTGCCGCGGGGGCCGAATTAACGTGCGGCTTCGGAGACACCGCAGAGTTGTGGCGACGTTCGGTAGCTGACATTGACCGCTCTGTCAAGCGGCTTAGACATTGAGACACGAAAAATCGATAGAATGCGCCCGTACCGGTAAAATCAATCGGTCACTACCTCTTTCCTCGGTGAAAAGCTGTTGGTATCGTCATACATGTTTCACGTATCACTTCGCTATCACTTTCTCCTGCGAACAACTATATCTGCGAACAAGTGCATCATCTTTACTGCCGTAATTGCTGTGTGTGTGTGTGTGTGTGTGTGTGTGTGGTGTGTGTGTGTGTGTGTGTGTGTGTGTGTGTGCGTGCGTGCGTGCGTGCGTGCGTGCGTGCGTGCGTGCGTGCGTGCGTGCGTGCGTGCGTGCGTCCGTGCGTGCGTGCGTGCGTGCGTGCGTGCATGTGAAGCTGGTTGCAAACCAGCTGGGCGCTGCGCTATGCACTGAGTCGCTCCCCGCGCTGACGCAGGGCGCGCCTGTACCGGTCGCGCACGCTGGCGCGCCCCGAGGACATCGACAGCCCGAAGTCGGACGGCGACCGCGACGAGTTAGCCGGCGGCGTGCTCATGACCGTCTGCAAGGACTGCAAGGCCATGGTCCTGCACATCATCGTCACCTGGAAGAAGCGGCGCGACCGCAGCAAGCGGGCCTCGGCGCCGGCGCGGCCGCGGTCTCTCTTCATCGCGGCCGTCCACTGAGGCGCATCACCAACATGGCGGCCGCCGGCGAAGGCCGCGCAGCCAGCATGGCGGCCGCCAGTCAAGGTCGCGTAGCAGCATGGCGGCCGCCGATGAAGGCCGCACAGCCGACATGGAGGGCGGTCAAGGTCGCGTAACACTATGGCGGCCGCCGGCAAAGACCACGCAGCCAGCATGGCGGCCGCTGGTCAAGGCCGCGTAGCAGCATGGCGGCCGCCGGTGAAGGCCATGCCTCCAAACGGCTGCTGCCGGTCAAGGCCGCGCCGGCGGGTATGGGCGCACAGGGACGAATCGCCTTCCGCGTCTCACGGGGCGAGCGTGGGCCAGCTTCTAGTCGCAGTCGGTGTGGGTGGCGCGGTGGAGATAGTGGTACCGCGCGTTGGCGGCGTCGCCGCAGCCGCGCGGGACACAGGTGTGTGTTGTGGCGTACTGGGTGAGCGGGACATGTTCACCGCTGCCGACGTGTACCTGGATTTCGGTTGCCAAATGACGGTCGCTGCTGTGGGGCGATAGCAGAGTGAATGGGCCGCGCTTGTCCTGATCGGGACCGCTGTCTTGGCGTGTGTGCAAGGTGAGCTGTTATTGTTTGGATTGCGAGAGACGTTGGAGAGCATTAACAGGTGTAGCTGTAACGTTGGGCACCTTTGCATGGCCCCAGCTTCGAAATACACGTAATTCCCATGCTTTGAGTAGGTGTTAAAACGTGGGCCAGCCAGCGTTGTGACGTTTCTGATCGACTGTCGTGGGAAATGTAGCGTAACACTGCAACATGTGATACCCTGCGCGAGACATCAGTGGCCCATTCAGCTTGGTGGGCACCCTGTCAGCGAGGTGCCGCGTATCATTACTATTCCCTGTGTTTTTTAAACATTCTGGTGGCTCTTTGCATGGCTTATTACAGATTTGTTACCCCGATGGCGTGTTCTAGAAAGACAGACCAAGTTGAATGCGTGCTAATAAGTCGTGTCGCATCGTGCGAAATACGCAATCATCTAATAATGGTGTGATCGTTGAAAATTATCACTTCGCCAACTACCTTATATCCAACCGCACAATACAGCGCATCCTCAACAAGAAACTATCTCCCTTCAAAAGCAAGGTCCTGTCCCATTGATAATATGCGTCTACACAGGACCCATTTTTAAAGTCTTAAGAAATCAATCGGTTGCGCACCAAACAGCGACAAAAAGCCATGTGAAATGCTGCCTTTCGGCACACGTGCTTCTGTTGATTCCATCCAATGCATTGAGTAATGTTTTGTTCGCGCATAATCCGCCATTTTGTATCGGGGTAAGCGTCGCACAAATCCGGTTTTAGTACAAATTGAATGATTTGTCGCGGTTGAATGTCATTTTACATCGTTATTTCCCGTTCGATTCATGGGCAGCTTCGTGATATTTTAGCGTAAGTGACAACCACGACACAAAATTATGGGTTGCGTCCTTATCGGCTTGCTTTCTGCATAAAGGTCGATGCGCGACAGGCTAAACCGCATTTCCGAAACATCCGGCTCCCGATGTCACGTACTATTGCTCGTGGTTTCGTCCCTGCCCAATATCATATCTTTCAGCAATGATATGTGAAACTGTATTCCACGATACTTTGCGTCAATACCTTCTTGGATATCTGTATCTCAACTCTGTCCGTAGATCTCTTCACAGGAACTGTGTATTTTAAGCCATCGCCGACATACCGCACCACCGTTTTGGTCTTGTCCTTGTTTAGGGTGACCTTCTTCGCCGACTATCCTCTGCTTTCTTGGAACCTACATCTACACCTAATGCAGTTTGCTGGTCGCTATGCTGCCTCTGTACTTGTAAATAATATCTAAATATTGGATATAACAATAAAATATTTGTTGTTAGCACTTGTTTGCTAAATAATTCGACGAATGTACCTGCTGGTGTGTCCTGGTCCTGCGCAGGTCACATAATCGCGCTGACCTGGCGGCGGGGAAAAGAACCGGATGCAGAGAGCAATTGGCACCAGCGCAGCACAGGACGACCTATCCACTAACATTGTACATCATTAGCTCATACTTTGTCACAAGGCCGTCTAAGGAAAGACAATATCGCTTGTATGTACGGAGAACCCGTTACGCACTTTATTCGAGTCTTCACATTATGACATATTATATGAACGCATGTCACTGGGCTGCTGGACGAACGCGTTACACAAGGGCGCGTGCTCTATACTCATAAAGCACAAAACGCCTCAGTAAAGCTGAATCACAGCCATCACCGCTGAATAAAGTATCAATCACTCGGCTGCCGCCAGAATGCATTATGCAACAGACGTACGCGATACGCTCACATCGCACACAACGCGTCGTGAAAACTTAATCGCAGCTATCACCGCTGGCGAGGCTGGTATACCCGTCACCGTCACTGGCACACTCGCACATCGCCGACGGCCGGAGCGCCGCCGCGCCGAGCTGCACGCCGCCGAGCCTCCCACACCGGGGAGGCCCGCGCCTCGAGCCGCGCCGCCCGCCTCACTCATCCAGCTGCGGAGCTCGGAGCACGCGCTCCAGCGTGCTGCGCTCTGCCGGCGCCAGATCAGGATGCCACATATCCACCATGAGCAGGGCGCGGGCCGGGCCGCCGGCCGGGCCCGCGTGCTCGGCCCGATGCAGGTACGAGTCGTCGAACAGGAGGCAGCGGCCCGGCTCCCAGCGGCGCGCCTGGCCGTCCACCATCAGGTGACAGCCGTCGGGCACCTCCAGGCCTGGTCATAGACGGCGCCCGTCAGGCCGCCGACGAAGCTGAAGTTTTCCCACGCAACACCAGCATCCACGCCTCTTCGCAGATCATTCCCGTCAGGCCTCTAAAGCAGCGGGTCTCACGACACTGTAGCCCCTCCCCCTCCCCTTCAGGCGGAACCGTGGAGACCACAGCAAGCGCACAGCAACCAGGGTGAGCGCATGCTGTTCAAGACATTACACGGATGATGGTTATGCATAACATGCATGGGGCCATTACCATGAAAATATTCGCACACACAACACAAGCACACACCAGACCTGCCTTTCCTGGTCTCGCTCTCGAATACCGTCCACATGCCCTCCCCTCCCCCACGTTCCCCGTGACGCCCACAGTTAGCCCCTACCGGCCCACACCCACTCACCCAGATGGCAGCGAACGCGGGCGTTGGTTGGCCCGCGGTGTGGCTCGATCCGCGTACCCGGCTCCAGCAGAGAGAAGCACACGTTCGAGAAGACCGTGCGGCGCATGACGCCGCTCAGTCGCGCCACCGCCGCCTGCGTGCGCGGACACACATCCAGCGCCACGCCCTGGTTCACCAGCCAGCAGACTCGCCAGGAGCCGGCTGGCGTCTCGTTGGCCGTCCAGAGGCGCGGCCGGCGGCGCGCGGCGCGCAGCTCGGCGGCCACCTCCGGCCAGGCGCGCTGCAGCAGGAGCACGTCCTCGGCGTGCGCGCCGTCCCACCAGGCGCGCTCCGAGAGGCCGGCCACCAGCAAGCGGCCGTCGGCACTGGCCGGCCAGGCGGCCAGGGCGGCGCGCAGCCGCGGCGTGACCGCCCGGCTCTCCGGCTCTCCGGCGCCGGCGCCGGCCGGCTCCAGCGCCGCGTCCAACCGGGCGGCGGCCCGCAGCGCCGCTTCCGCCCAGCCGTGGCAGCGCGTGCAGTCAAGCGAGCGACACTGGTCGGGCCGACGTGCGCGGCGCCGACTCAGCCAAGCGGCCACGGCCGCCGACAGCAGCGTGCCTGCCAGCAGCGACAGCGGCAGCTGCGGCTGCGACGGCTCGGCGCGCGGCAGCAGCGCGCCACAACAGTCCAAATCCATGACAGCGGCTGGCGACGGAGTGAGGAGGCGTCAGCGGCGCCAGTGCCGGGGCGCCGACACGCCCGCCCCCGTGCTCAATCGCACCATAGCGGACGCGGCCTGCGGGAGGGGTGTCAGGTACGGCGGCCTGAGACGGGCGTCCGATATCGCAGGCTGAGGACATGCTCGGGCGAGGTTGGCCAAGGTCATCAGCCATTCGCCGGGCGTGAGCGGGGAGGGGGGGGGGGGGGGAAATCAACCGAACAACCTGGTGAGGGCATCGGGCAGCACCAATACGAAAAATGGAGACGGATAGGCGGAAAGCATCTCAAATGTAGAACACACCTCACGGAGTCCCAAACGGTGTCGTGATATGGCGAACCCATGCAAAACGCAGCCAAGTCAAGTGCAGCGCGCTTCGCTTGGCTGGCTGTTCGACACGCGGCCAATCTGAGCGTATAGTCTAATGGCAGCATTGTAATTTCTGCTCGGCAAAACAGACTGTGCTGCCCTGTTACCTACTTGGCCAGCTCCACCGTCAGCCAACGCAGCCCCACAACACGTAATTTAGGTATCGGTGCTTGGCAAGACATGCCTAGCGGTCACAAACACAAAGTTTGGGCCCCAAACAGGCGTATATACGGACGGATTGTGTATGATATCCGCTATCACAAACATGAAAGCAGAGGTCTTGTGAACCGTCCATAAATCACGTTACGCATTTCTGATAATTTTTCAACCCCTCCTCCCCCTGGTCACGCACTGGTTACACCGGGCGCCCCCTCCCCCCCCCCCCCCACTCCCCCTGATACGCTGCGTCAAGCGCAGCATCCGTCGGGCCCCTAACTGAGTTGAAAGATGTGGAATAACGGGCATTTTCCTGTCAGACTGGAAGTCAACGGAATCTGGTAATAAAGTTTAATTCGGTTTTGAAGATTTTAACATTATGTGTAACCACACTTCGTGTAACGCAGCCCCACAACACGCTGTCAACACAGCACACGTTACGCTGTCCAAAAGCTCCCCTCCCCTTGTCACGCTTCCGTTACGCCCCATGACAACTTGGAGGAGGTTTAGGGGTACATCCGTCATGCGTTTTAATGTTTATACAGTTACCCCTACTTGTCCGGGTCCGTCAGCTAATAAGAGCGCCTCCCTTCCGCTTTACCCACCCGCAGCGGAGTGGTGGGCGGGTTCGAGTCGCTTTAGGCGCTCACTACTAGGCTCTGGCTGGAATAGCCCCTCATCAGTGAGGTCCGCCGCGCAAAAGATCAGATGACGTCAGATAAATACTGCTCATTGCAGTTACATGTACATAGATGCAGAGGACACATTCATTAATTTTGAGATTAAAGGATTGAGGATGGAAACGTTATGGAAACATTATGTTTCGACGTTAAGGCATAAATATCTTAGACTTAAAAGTGCTCAATGTTCAGGTTGTTTAACCTTTCAATGCCTGCTAAGTTTTGTATTCCCGGCACCTTATTCAATATCAGCTGCTCCTCAAATATGCAATGCTTAGTGGTCACGTACGTGCATTTGTTGAAGGGACACCACAACCTTACTTTTGGCACCACACACTCTTTGTTTTCATGAAGCACTAAAATTCCAAGGGCATCACAAAGGGCCCAGATCTGCATTTTCGAGTTCGCGAATTCCAGGGACACCACAATCTCGATGCCAAGTTCTTTAACGAAATCCCAGACCGGCCTATTCTGCAAGGGAACAAAACTGCAAGGGAACACTACTCACTTCGGGTCATCATGACATATATTTTCAAGAGGTATCCAGTTCCAGAGGGCACACAAATGGCTCCAAATCTTAATTTCAAAGAGACAACACATTCCGGGGTACACAACAATGCCCGTGTCTCTCCATTGCCTAAATCCTGCGTATCGGCCAATTCGGTGAGGGACATCAAAACATTGCTTTCGGAGAACCATGACATGCACTTCCAAGAGCACCACATCAAAGTGGGTGATTAGAAGGCCCCGCAACTTCCATTTCCAAGAGCGCAAAAATACAGGGGCACCACAGTCGTTGTCTTCCACCCTGATACAATCCTGAGCCGGCCCCTTCAGCGAAGGGGCCCAAAAACCTTCATTTCGAGGCGTCATTATCCTTTTTTCATAAACAACAAATAACAGGGAGAGGGTACTACATAGGGCCCCAAGCCATAAATAATATAATTATAAAATAACGGCTAGTTCCAGAGGCATCCGAAATGACCCAAAACCATTTATTTTCACGAGGAGCCAAATTTCAAGGGCGTCAAAATGAGTGGGGAGAGGTAGAGGGACAGGGATACGCCCCCTCCCCTCCCGCCCTTAGGCCCCGAGCGTCCCGAGTGGTCCTCTGTGCCCCTTGGGGCCGATGACGAGGAGACCGACTGGAGAGTCTAAAGCACGGGCCGGAGGTCATCTGAAGGGACAGCAGCCCGAAGGCCAGGCCTTCATATGTCAGAGTATCTCTAGCACCGATTGGAGACCCTCTGGGTCAGTGAGAGGCTGCATTTAATTCAGTTGACTAGGACCACTAGCATCGAGAGTCTGTTCCGTGCCCGTCTGGGCCCTCGGCGCTCCTTCTCCACGATGGGGCAAGGTGTCAATCTGAGGGCTCCTTGTATTGGTCTGGGCACCTGAAACAGTGAAGGGACCATTGTGCTGGTCAGGGCTCACAGTGAATAAAAACGGAGGGGCACATTTGCTGAATGAGGACAGAATGGGACCGCAAATGGCAAAAAAGTATCTTGCGTTGGTCGGGGCCCTCTCGACAAAAAAAGCAGATGTGGGAAATAACGATGCAAGGGCTCGCATTCACAATGAGGCAGTAGAAAGGCCCTGGTCAGTCAAAGGCCCCAGCACCGAACCAGGGGTCATCTGTTCCGTTTTAAGCGCGAGCCGAAAAGTCGAATTCGTGTTTTAGTACCAATTATTGAGCTCCCTGCGCCGGTAAGCGATCCTTTTGCGTCCGTGAGGGCCCTTGCACCATCCGGTGCCAGACATCCCGGCCAGAGGGCCTACCGCACCAGAGAGGGGACCGGTGCACAATATATCCCTCCTCTGAGGGTTTCCGTAGCGACCTGGGGACCAATATCCCCGTTCGGCAGAATGGCAGCCGCTATGGACCGCGGAATGGCGCGGAATGCTGATCAGCTCCCGACCAGGAGATCTAACCTGCGCAATAAGCTGATTCTCTGAACGGGATTACCAGTTACAGCACCACATGTCACGTAGATTGCGCCATTATGTTGTGAGCTCGTGGTACAGTACCTGACAATCCCTTCCTCAATCTGAAAACCGCACAGGTAAGGCTCGCGGTCCGAGATGCCTTCTACATGTAAGGTTCGCGGTCCGAGATGCCTTCTACAGGCAAGGCTCGCGGTCCGAGATACCTTCTACAGGTAAGACTCGCGGTCCGAGATGCCTTCTACAGGTAAGGTTCGCGGCCCGAGGTGCCTTCTACAGGTAAGGCTCGCGGTCCGGATGCCTTCTACAGGTGGGACTCGCGGTACGGGATGCCTTCTACACGTACACAAACCGATTTCGTAAGGCATTGGAGAGCATCACTTTCTGAAACATGGTCATTTTCGCCCCGCCCAATGAATGCCGCCGAGTGCTGCTGCGAGGCCGGTGCTGCGCAGCCCATGGAGACTGCAACGCCAGGAATCGGTGTCTTTCTCCAGTGATCTTCTTTCTCCAATGATAAGGTGGGCACAGACCTTGCCCCCGTTGGGCCCCGAAGGAACCCTTAGACTTCGAACAGGCCCATAGATGGTCGAAACAGACGTAGTTTTTAACGCAAAACGCAACAAGAATGAACGTCTTCGGGATTTCAGGTGGCCAAGGACAGTCGCGGGCGAAAGTAAAGGGCACACGAGCAAACACAAATAATTATTCACTGCTCGAGAGGGTGATCAAATCCGATCGCTAAAAAGCTTTCTACGCTGCTCTTGCTCCTTTACGTTTGCCCGGCGGGCCACGCGCCGTCGCCGGGGCCCTTTCTGTAGCATGCCAGGACACTTTTGCCGATTAGGGGCCTTCTACGGATTCTTCCCATTCGCCCGAAAGGCTTTATACGCTATAGCCGGGGCACCATGCGTTAAACTGCTAGGGTATTCTAGGTTGCTCAGGGGCCCTCACGTTGGCCTCGGTTAACATACGAACACACTTGTAATATGCTCATGGGCGCTCTCCATTGGTCCAGGGCCCTTCCAATTCCCTGTCATTTGTGGAGGGCCCTACGCTCTTGTCGGGAGGCCCACCTGTTCACCTGCTCGGGCACACTCGAACGTTCGGGGGCCGTCACACTCAGACTTGGGTACTTCCTATTGGCTGTTGAGGGCCCTATGCTTTTGACGGGACCCCATCTGTCAACCCGCCCAGGTATATCGCCGTCGGCCCTCCACCCCGACGGCTCAGTGGGTTGGAGCGCCTGCCTTCCGATTAGTCCACCCGTGGCGGGGTGGGTTCGAGCAGCTTCAGGCGCTCGCTCTTAGTCCTCGACAGTTATGGCCTGCGGCCGGTGGCAGCTGTCGCGCTTAAAGTCAGTTG